CTGTGAGTGTGTGAAGGCTTGTGTGTGTGAGGGGGCCCTATGAGCGTGTGATGGACTGTGAGTGTGTGAGATATCGTGTGTGACTGTTTGTGAATGTGTGAGTGCCTGTATGTGAGGGCGTGAGGATAGGCATGTGGATGTGTGAGAGTAGATGTAGATATATATGGATGGATACATTGACGTGTAGGTACCACGACTTGTAGGGTACGTGTGTGTTTGCACCTACCACAGTCAGGAGCAACTGCTGGGAGGGTTCCCGTCCGCACCCCGCCTGAGTGTCCCTCTCCCACAGGCAGCAAGAAGAAGATTCGCCTGTACCAGTTCCTGCTCGACTTGCTGCGCAGCGGCGACATGAAGGACAGCATCTGGTGGGTGGACAAGGACAAGGGCACCTTCCAGTTCTCATCCAAGCACAAGGAGGCGCTGGCGCACCGCTGGGGCATCCAGAAGGGCAACCGCAAGAAGATGACCTACCAGAAGATGGCGCGCGCGCTGCGCAACTACGGCAAGACCGGCGAAGTGAAGAAAGTCAAGAAGAAGCTCACCTACCAGTTCAGCGGCGAGGTGCTAGGCCGCGGAGGCCTGGCTGAGCGGCGCCTCCCGCCGCACTGATCGCCCGCAGAGCCCGCCAGGCCCCCGGCCCCCGCCGGCCACAGCATTAACCCCTCGCCGGGCCCGGACACAGGGAGGACATTCCCAGGGCCGAGGCAGGACTAGGGGCCCGGCCTCGCCCTCCCACGCCCGGCCTGGCCCGTCCCGCCCCGCTTCGCCTCCCACCAGGACTCTAGCCCGGCCCAATGGCCGCCTGGGCCTCGGACCCCACCCGAGGGTCAGCCTGGCTTAATGGCCACGGTGCTTCCTTGGGAGTCTGGCGTCGGTACATCTTTGTATATTGAATGCTCTTTTTAAGGCTCTTCCTCTCCCTACCTCCCCCACCCACTAGCCTACCAAAGACAAGTAAAATTATTCTCAGCTATTCTCCCAGCGCAGAGTCTCATTCAAGAGTTTGTGTGTGCCGGGTGCAGGGTGTGCTCCCTGTGCACTTGTCCAGAGGACTTGTATCCAAAGCTGGACCCCGGAGACATAGTGACCATGGACGCATATAGGAAAACAAGTCCTGGGCTGTTAATCAGGGGCAGGGATCATATTGAAAGACCCTCTGTGCCAGGGAGGCTTAAGTCTTAGTGATCTGAGTGAGCCGTGATCCGAAAGTGCTGGCCGTTGAGCTTCTGTCAGCTCTAGGGTGAGGAAACTAACATCCCCCCCCCTCCACACACACTTTTTGTTCTTGTTTGAGACAGAGTTTCTGTGAAATAGTCCTGATTGTCCTGGTCTTAAACTCACAGAGATCCCCCGTGAGTTCGAGGCCAGCCTATTCTACAAGAGCTAGTTCCAGGACAGGCTCCAAAGCTACAGAGAAACCCTGTCTCGGAAAAAAAAAACATAACAAACAAATAAAAAAACAAAAACAAAAGCAAAACAAACAAAAACAAAAGCAAAACAAACAAACAAAAACTGAGACTTCACTGGTGAAACCTTGGAGTCCCACACTTAGCTTCAAGGCCCTTTGCTCCCTGGGGCAGCAGATAAGGGCTCTTATCTGTAAGCATCTTGCTCCAGTCTGGTGGTGCAGGCAAAAGTGGTGACAGACAGGGAGTGAGAAATTTTCCCAAAGCACTCTGCACACCTCAAGAAACACTGACCCGAGGGATTTGACGCCTGCACCCCTCCTGGAAATGTGGGTTCCTCCACATGATGCTCCCTAATCATACGAAGAGCCTTAAGAGACGACTAAGAATACGAGCTAAGGTTAGCCCAGTGGTAGAGCAGTGAGGTGTTTGTTGTTTGTTTTTCGAGACAGGGTTTCTCTGTGTAGCCCCAGCTGCCCTGGAACTAGCTCTTGTAGATCAGGGTCAGGCTGGCCTTGACCTCTCAGAGATCCTCCTGCATTTGCCTCCTGAGTGTGGGGATTGAAGGCGTGCACCACCACCACTCAGCCAACAGAGCAGTGTGTGTATATATGCATATATTTAATATTTCAATTCTTTTATTTTGTGTGTATGTATGTATGTGCATGTGTGCACACGCACCACATCATGCATGTGGAGGTCAGAAGACGACTTGCCGGGGTCAGTTCTCTCCTTCCACTAGTGGATCCCGGAGACGGAACTCATCCGGCTTGGCAACAGATACCTTTATTTGAGCCTCTTGTTGGAGGCTCTTAAGCAAGGGTTTTTTTTTTTAATTTATTTAACTTTATTTTATGTGCATTGGTTTGAAGGTTTCAGATTCCCTGGGACTGGAGTTACAGACAGTTGTGAGCTGCCATGTGGTTCCTGGGAATTGAACCTGGATCCTCTGGAAGAGCAGCCAGAGCTCTTAACCACTGAGCCATCTCTCCAGCTCCCAAGTATCATTTTTTTAAAACCATTTTTTTAGATTTTAAAAAATGTATATGTCTGTTTTGCCTGTATTTATGTATGTGTAGCACATGTGTTCCTGGTGCCTACAGAGTTTAGGAGAAGGGATAAGGTCCCCCTGGAGTTGGGGGTCACAGATGGTTGTGAGTGAGGCACCATGTGGGTACTGGGAATGGAATCTGAATTCTCTGCAAGAGCAAGTGCTTTTAACCACAGAGCTATCACATCAGTTCTCCAGAAGACTCAGATAGGCATAGCAGTGTATTCCTGGAATAGCAGCACTTAGCAGGTTGATGCAGGAGGATTGTCATGAGACCAACCTAGATTACTAGTAATAGCTTCAACACACACACACACACACACACACACACACACACACAACTTAAGAGTAGATGGTGTGGCTTTAAAGTAACTAAAATTGAGTGAAAATCATGGCTGGTAAGTTTCTGTTATATGGAAAACACTTATGTATGGCCTCTCTCCTTTCCAATGGTAAACAATCTATTCTACTAATGTTCCTTGATAGGGGTCCCCGTAATTTACTTTTCTGTAACACCCAATGAACCTGAAGTGATTGAGGGTTCAGTTGCAGGACAAGAACAGTGGGAATGGGGTGGAAGATGGGGGTGGGATTCAGAATATTCTGGCATTAATCTTTAGTTAGTCCTTGTGACTTTAGTAAGAGCTAGCTTTGCTTCTGTCTTCTACTTTGGAGTACTTTTAGAGATTCCCTTCCCTGCCCTCACCTGTAGGTTCGTCTAGCACTTCCCTTATGGTGATAGTAACTCCCAGCATTGGCTCCTCCCTGCCTGACCCTAGCCTAAGCCCACCCAGCATTCCAAGGTCCAAGGTCCAAGGCCCCTGCCCCTTGTGGTGCAGCAATGTCCATCAAGGCTCTGCTAATCAAAAGAACAGTAGCACCAAGCCCTGGACACTCTAGCCATGGGTGTCACAGGCAAGAGCACCTCTACAGTGTAGTTTTCTGCTGGATGGATACACAGACAAAGGCGAGGTTACTCCTGAGGTCCACAGCAGGTTGGAGGGGCAGAAGCCATCCAATCATGCTGGGAGAGGGGGAGGGGAGCCAGAGGACCAAGTGGCTCTATCTTCTCCGTGGAGGTACTTCAGCTGGATGGAATTTGTCTATATTTAGCAGGTGACTGGCAGGAGTCAGATAAGCGGGGATGGGGAGGGGGATGGCGTTCATAAATAGTGAGACCACAGGGCACTGTTCAGCTCCTCCTTGGGTGACTTTACCTGCCTGGTGCCTGGTGTGACCGTTCTCAAGATGCCTGAGCCAGGGAAGAAAACAGGTAGCTGCATGCACGGGTTGAGTCTGAATCTGGGGCGGTGGATGTGCACAGCTTGGGGACAGGGCTAGGATAATGTGAATGGGGCCTCTAGGTTCCAGGAAGACACAGAATAATCTTCTTTGGTCTGTCTATTTCTCAGTTTCTTTCCCCTTCCCACCTGTGCCAGAGCCACTGAAAGAAGTACCCAGGTCAACACCCATTCCATCTTGACCTGTTTCTTCTTCAGCCAGGGTCCTCACTTCAGGGAGCCCAAATTCAGGCTACACTGAGCCCCTGAGCACCTCCTGGTCTCACGTACAGTGTGCGGGGTAGTGACCCTTTTCACCTTTCTGTGTCTGCCACCTGCGCCGGAACCCCTAGGGTATGCAGACCATGCCCGGCTAGATGTGGAGGACTTTTCCTCTTCTCTGGAGAAGAACAGACAAAGAACAGAGAAACTGTAATTCAGGGCCTGGCCTGGCCAGGCCTGTGCCCTTGCAGAGGTCACTGGGGCAGGGCAGGGATCCAACCCCAGCCCCCCCCACCCACTCCCAGGCTAGCATTATCTCAGTTGTTCATTCTTAGTCTGAAGCCCTCAGAGGACAAATTTAGCTATATTCCAAGTAGGCAGAGTGCATGGGTGGGGGTGGCCTCCTGGTGGGAGTGGAGCTGGACTTACCCCGAATGTTCCTAGACAGGAGGGAGAGGATCCAAGGTAGGAGTGTCCTGTGTGGTGATTAGGACAGCAGACTTGACTCTTTCATCTATAATCTTTTATCACTTAACCTGAGCCATAAATATGGCTGCACCTACTCCGTAGAACTTTTGAGCACTAATGAGAGATTTGGAGTGTACTTACCCCAGTCTCTTTAAAGGAGAGTGGCAGGGATGGGCACCAGGGAGCCCAGTCCCCAGAGGGTGGCAGGGGTGGGTATCAGGGAGCCCGGTCCCCGCAGGGTGGCAGGGGTGGGCACCAGGGAGC